TGATGCAAGGCCTCAACCATGATCGGTTTCGGGATAACTTAATCAAGAACACCCCAACCACTTTTGACGAAGTCAACCAGAGATCCCTCAAGTTCATTAAAGCTGAAGAGTACGTCCTCTCCAAACCCCAGCCCCCTAAAGAAGCTAGAACCCCCACCTGGAGAGACGAAAGCCAGAGCAGGAAGAAGTTCAAACCCACACAGAACCGAGGCCCAATTCCGGTCCCTAAGCTAGATAGGCCCGACTCCAACACCCCGCAAACGCGGCCTACGCCGCCCTCATGGACCTCCTTCACAATTCCGAGGTCGCAAATTCTCATGCAAATTAAGAATAAGATGGAGATGAGGAGACCAAACCCCCTACAGAGCCCAGCGACAAGCAGAGACCACACCAGATACTGTGACTTTCATCAAGATCACGGACATACCACGGAAGAGTGCAAAAGTTTGAAGTCCGAGCTGGAAAGTTTAGCCCGGAAAGGGATGTTGAATGAGTACATCCAGAGCAGAAATTTGCCAAAATTTGTCAAAGAACAGGGGCAACCCCAGGGGTCCCGAGCATCACACAACAGAGATGGAGTAGGATACCAGCAAGCGCCACCACCTCTCCCACCACCATCCAGAATTATACACATGATAACAGGCGGACCCGAAGTAGGTGGCACAAACGCCAAACAGCAAAAGCTGTACGTAAGGGAGGTCAGACACTATAATGCAGCCCAGAAAAGGAAGATCGACGAGGAGGATTGGAAAAACCAATCTGTGACATTCACTTCGGCCGACCTCGAGGGGGTCGTCACGCCCCATAACGACCCATTAGTCACCTCGGTAATCATTAACAACTGCGAGGTCCAGCGAGCGCTCATTGACACCGGCAGTGCTCCAGACATAATGTATTATCACTGCTTTGAGAGCCTCGGACTCGACCCCGCCCTCCTGCAAAAGTATGATGGGCCCATCTACGGCTTCAATAACCAGCCAGTACCCGTGGAAGGAGTGCTGCGACTCAACGTGACGTTCGGCTCCGGACGAACGTATGTAACACCCTCAGTCAGATTCCTGGTAGTGAAGATGCCTTCATCTTTTAATCTCGTCATCGGGAGGCCGACTTTGACCGAGATTCGAGCTATAGTGTCCCAGTCCCACCTCTGCATGAAATTCCCCACGCCAATGGGGGTAGCAACCTTGCGAGGCAATCAAGAGGCGGCCAGGCACTGCTACATGACCTCCGTCGCGAGGTCACGAAGAAATAAGGAGGTAGTCCCATCACCAGAGGCACCCCAACCAGAGACCCCGAATACCCAACAGGTAATGGGTGTAGAGCTGCCAGATAACAGACCAGAGGATAACCCAAGAGCCACCCCGGTCGAGGAGGTCAAAGAGGTGCAACTTGATGATAATGACCCATCCAAGAAGACTCAGATCGACACGAAGCTGACTCCCATAGAAAAAGAAGAACTTGTGGGCTTCCTAAAAGCAAACAAGGATGTGTTTGCATGGACTTCGGCTGACATGCCTGGAATCCCAACTTCGGTGGCAGTACACAAACTCAGCACTAATCCTTTGCGGAAGCCAGTAGCACAGAAGAGACGGCTTTTCGGGGGGGAAAGACTCACGGCCATTAAGGAAGAAGTTAAGAACCTCTTGCAAGCAGGGTTTATTAGGAGAGTAGATTACTGCGAATGGATTGCCAACCCTGTCATGGTAAAAAAGTCAAACGGGAAGTGGCGCATGTGCATCGATTATACCAACCTCAACAACGCCTGCCCTAAAGACTGTCATCCCATGCCGAGCATAGACAAGCTGGTAGAGGCCGCCTCAGGGAATGAGAGGTTAAGCCTCTTGGATGCTTACTCGGGGTATCATCAAGTTCGCATGGCACCCAAGGACGAGGTGAAAACCTCATTTTATGCCGGAGATGAAATATACTGCTATGTGATGATGCCGTTTGGGCTCAAGAATGCAGGGGCAACATACCAGAAAATGGTCACAATCGTGTTTCGGGCTCAAATTGGCAGGAACCTGGAGGT